TTTAACACGATTTTATGTGACTTTTATTGGATTTTCTTTTAAATTTCGATGGGATCTCTCGGAATTCTGTGGAATCCTGACGGAATTCCCTGGAATTCCCCGCAGGCACAACGGGAACGTCCTGCTGGACACCGAGGGCATTTCGTGGCATTTTAGGGATTTTACCACAATTTAGCGTGGCTTTTATTGGATTTTTTTCCTTAAATTTCAATGGGATTTCTCTGAATTCGCTGGAATCCCTGCAGGCACAACGGGAACATCCTGCTGGACGCCGAGGGCCACATCATCCACATCGACTTCGGGTTCATCCTGAGCAGCTCCCCCCGGAACCTCGGCTTCGAGACCTCGGCCTTCAAACTGACCACCGAGTTCGTGGACGTGAGTGGGGCTCCGGGGGGATCCGGGGAATTCAGGGAGTTTCCAGGGGGTTCCCAGGCCATTCCGGGCCATTCCAGGGCTTCCCAGGCCATTCCAGGGGTTCCCAGGCCATTCCAGGCCATTCCAGGGGTTCCCAGGCCATTCCAGGGGTTCCCAGGCCATTCCAGGCCATTCCAGGGGTTCCCAGGCCATTCCAGGGGTTCCCAGGCCATTCCGGGCCATTCCCAGGCCATTCCAGGGGTTCCCAGGCCATTCCAGGGGTTCCCAGGCCATTCCGGGCCATTCCAGGGGTTCCCAGGCCATTCCAGGGGTTCCCAGGCCATTCCGGGCCATTCCCAGGCCATTCCAGGGGGTTCCCAGGCCATTCCGGGCCATTCCCAGGCCATTCCAGGGGTTCCCAGGCCATTCCAGGGGTTCCCAGGCCATTCCGGGCCATTCCAGGGGTTCCCAGGCCATTCCAGGGGTTCCCAGGCCATTCCGGGCCATTCCCAGGCCATTCCAGGGGTTCCCAGGCCATTCCAGGGGTTCCCAGGCCATTCCGGGCCATTCCAGGCCATTCTGGGCCATTCCAGGGGTTCCCAGGCCATTCCAGGGGTTCCCAGGCCATTCCGGGCCATTCCCGAGCCCCGTCCCGTGTCCCGCAGGTGATGGGCGGCCTGGACGGGGACATGTTCAACTACTACAAGATGCTGATGCTGCAGGGGCTGATCGCCGCCCGCAAGCACATGGACAAGGTGGTGCAGATCGTGGAGATCATGCAGCAAGGTGGGAATCCCGGAATTCCGTCCCGGACCTGCTCCTCCCAGAGCATTCCCTGTCCCAGCCCTCATCCCAACCCGGATTTCCATATCCCAGGATCCCGAATCCCCTTCCCCTCATCCCAACCCGGATTTCCATATCCCAGGATCCCGAATCCCCTTCCCCTCATCCCAACCCGGATTTCCATTGCCCAGGATCCCGAATCCCCTTCCCCTCATCCCAACCCGGATTTCCATTGCCCAGGATCCCGAATCCCCTTCCCCTCATCCCAACCCGGATTTCCATTGCCCAGGATCCCGAATCCCCTTCCCCTCATCCCAACCCGGATTTCCATTGCCCAGGCTCGCAGCTCCCTGATCCCATTGCCCCCACTCCAAACCCAGATTCCCAACATTCCCACCCCAATTTTTCCCGTTTTTTCAGTCCCTCAGCTCCCAGATTCCCAGGTTTTTTCATTTTTCCTGGCTCCCAGCTGCCCTATCCCTGATTCCCATCCCACATTTTCCCATTTTCCCTATTTCCCATTCTCCCAGCTGCCGTTTTTCCCCATTTTTTCCCATTTCTCCAGGCTCCCAGCTGCCATTTTTCCCATTTTCCCCATTTTTCCCATTTTCCAGGCTCACAGCTGCCTCATCCCTGATTCCCATTCCAAATTTTCCCGTTTTTTCCCATTTCCCATTCTCCCAGCTGCCGTTTTTCCCATTTCCCCCCGTTTTTTCCCCGTTTCCAGGCTCGCAGCTGCCGTTTTTCCCAATTTTTTGCCGTTTTTCCCATTTCCCCCCGTTTTTCCCCCGTTTCCAGGCTCGCAGCTGCCCTGCTTCCACGGCTCCTCCACCATCCGGCACCTCAAGGAGCGTTTCCACATGAACCTGACGGAGGAGCAGCTGCAGCTGCTGGTGGAGCAGATGGTGGACGGCTCCATGAGATCCATCACCACCAAGCTCTACGACGGCTTCCAGTACCTCACCAACGGCATCATGTGAACCCCGCGGCCCCGCCCGGGCGGAAGGAAAAACCAAACAACAAAAAAACAACAAAAAAAATTCCCCGGAAAAAAAAATTCCCGGAAAAAAAAAGAAAAAAAAAAAATTTCCCTGCCCCCCCCAGCAAGGAACGGGAGAATTCCAAAGTTCCCGGTTCTGTTCCCTGGGGAAAAGCGGCCTCGGAGCTGGGGCTGCTCCCGGGCCTGGACTCTGCTGAGAGATGGGACAGAATTCCATGGAAAAACCGGGAAAAACGGCGGGAACGGAGCGTGGGAAAGGGCGGGGATGGGGATGGGGGCAGCTCCCCCTTGCTCTGCCTGGGATTCCCTGGAATGTGCGGGGAGGGGTCTCCTGAAGGCTGGGAATCCCAAAATCCCAAAATTCTCGGAATTCCCGGCCCCATGGGGTCCTTCCCTCCTCCGGGACACCCGGGGTGGTTCCAGGTGGGGAATTCCCGGTGGGGCTGGGACCCCCCTCCCCCCTTCCCCGGGAAATTCCAGCCGGGAATTCGGGGCTGGAGTGCCGGACACACGATTGGGGTGGGGGGGGGGGTTTGGGGGCCTGGTCCCGAATCCCGAATCCCGAATCAGGGAGGATCCGGAGCTTCCCAGGGAAGGGAAATTTCCTGGAATTTCCCCTCCCCCTCCCCCCAGGCCTGGCCTGATGGGGACACTTGCAGCGTCCCCAATGTCCCCCCATTGTCCCCCCATTGTCCCCGTGTCCCCTCGTGTCCCCTCTCCCCCCGTGTCCCCCCTCGGTGTCCCCAGTGTCCCCCCCCTGTCCCCTCTGTCCCTGTGTCCCCCCCCCCCCCCGTGTCCCCTCAATGTTCCCCCTTTTTTTTTTTTTTTTTTTTTTTAATTTTTAGCATTACAAAACCCCAAAATTTGGTTTTTCAACCCCCGGGGAAGGGTGAGGGGGCTCTGGGGACAGACGGACACGGGGAGGGGACAGGGGGACCCCAACCCTTCCCAAGCCCCTTTTTTGGGGGGCAGGACCAAAATTCGGGGATGCAGCCGGAGCCCCGAGCCCCTCCCCCGTCCCCGTTATCCGGGGGAGCCAGGCCGGGCACAGAGGGTGAAACCACTGGAGTTTAATGGAATCGATTCCTACAGAATAAAGAATTCCTGAGAGCCTCCCGAGCCCGCGGCTTTCCGTCAGCACATTCCCGAAAAATCCCCGAGACCCCCGGGGAACAGCCCCGGAATTCCAGGGGGAACATTCCCGAAATTCCAGGGGTCCAACCCCAAAATTCCAGGGGGGAACAGCCCCAAAATTCAGGAGTCCAACCCCGAAATTCCAGAGGGGAACATTCCTGAAATTAAGGGGTCCAACTGCAAAATTCCAGGGCTCCAATGCAGAAATTCCAGGGGGGAACATCCCTGAAATTCCAGGGGTCCAACCCCAAAATTCCAGGGGGAACATTCCCGAAATTCCAGGGGGAACATTCCCGAAATTCCAGGGGGAACATCCCTGAAATTCCAGAGCTCCAACCCTGAAAGTCCAGCCCCTCCCTCCCTCCACCCCCAATCCAGCTCAAGGCACTGAAATGCTGAAAACCGTGGGTCCAAAGCCATTTTTCCATAGTTTGTTTTTTTTTTTCTTTTCGGGAATTTTTTTCATTCTAAATCTCGTAGAAACTTTAATTTCTTCTCTATATTTACACTCGGCCTGGGGGATTTTTGGGAACAGCCGATTCCACCTGATTTTTCCCAGGTTTTTTCCCACCCTTTTTCCATCCATCCACCCGCAGGGAAAAGGGGAGGGGAAACCCCTCATTCCTGCTTGGAAAAAGTCAGAAAAACCTGGAATAAAAACCCAAAATAAAAGGGAAAAAAACAAAATCAACCCCAAAGCAGCTTCTGCCATCCCGAAAAACGCAAAACAAAAAAAAAAACGGGAAAAAAACCTTGGGAAACCAAACCAAATCCCAGAGGGAGCACAGCAGTTGTTGGGATTCGGGGGTTTTAGTGTATGGTACAGCTGTACAGGGAGAGGGGAGGGGAATCCTCAGGGAATTCGGGAATTCTCCGGGAATTCTCCGGGAATTCCGGTGCCGAGGGGGGAGCGGCTTTTCCAGGGGATTTTGGGGGGATTGGGGTGGGAAAGGTCCCGGATCCCGAGGGAAGGAGCTGGAAAAACGCTGGAAAAGGCCCAAACCTCACCCTCAGCCTGGAATTCGGGAGCATTTTCCCATTTTTCCTTCAGGAAAAGGGTCCTGGCTGGGATTTGGGATCCATTCCCAATCCTGGGGTTATTTTGGGGTCATTATTCCTTTGCCAAAGGAAAAATCTCCTTTTTCCTTCTTTTCTCTCATTTTTCCAGATTTTTTCCTCCTCCTGCTCCCTTAGGAATGTCCAGTGAGTGTCCGAGTGTCCTTCCCGGGCACCTCTGAAATTCCAGGGCTCTGGAATCGCCCCCTTCCCAACAAAACACAGCAGGAACGTTCCCAAATGCAAAAAAAAATCCAGGAAAAGCAAAAAAACCCCCCAAAAATAATAACAAAAAAGGTGAATTTTGCTGGAAAAGCTTCCCCTGCCCTGTCCGGATCTGGGAATTCCTGGAAAGGGCCCGGAGGGGTCCCGGAAACCCCAAATCCCCCCAAAATCCAACATTCATTCCCAGGGGGTTCCCGGCGGGATTTGGGATCGCCCCAATCCCAATCCCATTCCCAACTTTCCCTCCTCGGACACCGGGAAGGGCTCGGGGGGGGGGGGGGGATTTATGTACACGGCGCCGATTCCGGCCTTGGAGCCCAGCCCGGAATCCCGGGAATGCCGAGATTCCCGGGAATGCTCAGCTCTCCTCAGGGCTCATCCTGGAATTCCAGGAATGCTGAAATTCCCAGGAATGCTCAGCTCTCCTTGGAGCCCATCCCGGAATTCCGGGAATGCCGCGGTTCCTGGGAATGCTTAGCTCTCCTCAGGTCTGATCCCGGAATTCCGGGAATGCCGAGATTCCCGGGCTCAGAGCTGATCCCAGGACAATCCCGGGAATTCCGGGAAGGCTCAGGTCTCCTCAGCCCCCTGCCAGGCTTGGGTGAAGCCAATCCCAGGCCAATCCCAGGAATTCCAGGATTCCCAGGAGTTCTCGCTTTTCCTCGCTGCCCTGGCGGGCCCGGATGAATCCCAGGCCAATCCCAGGCCATTCCAGAATCCCGGGAGCGCTCAGTTCTCCTCGTTGCCCTGCCGGGCGCGGATGAAGGCCATCCCGTGGGTCCTGAAGTGCGTTTTGAGGTTGAGCTGGCTCTCGAAGCCCCGCCCGCACACTTTGCACTCCAGCTTCCCCTCGGCGCTGCCGCCGTTCCCGCCGGGGGCGGCCCCGCTGCCGCTGCCGCTGCCGCTGCCGCCGCCGCTCCCCGCCGCCCCCGCGGGCTCCTCGGGCTCGGCCCCGCGGCGCTTCTTGTGCGAGATGAAGCGGTGGCGGCCGAGCGCGCTGGCCGAGGTGAAGCAGAGGCCGCACTCGCGGCACTGGGGCGCGCCCTGCGGGCGGTGCTGCGCCAGGTGCGCCTGCAGCTCCGCGCGGCTCCCGGCGCTCAGCCCGCACCGGCGGCAGCGCAGCGGCGCCCGCGGGCTCTTGGCGGGCGGCGTGGTGCTGTCCGGCTCCTCGCTGCACGACTCCTCCGAGGAGAGCTTGCGCCGGCGGCCCGGGGCCTGCGGGGAGAGCGGGGAGACGGGATGAACGGGCGGGGATGGGGGAACATCGGGAATGAACGAGCAGGGATGGGGGCAAACATCGGGGATGAACGGGCGGGGATGGGCAGGGATCCTAGCGAGGGCTGGGGATAATGAACGGCCGGGAGAAACCCCTGGGGAGGAGGGGGAACATCGGGGATGAACGGGCAGGGATGGGGGGGGATCCCAATGAACGGCCGGGGCTGGGGGGAATGAACGGGCAGGTGAAAACCCTGAGGGAGAGAGGGGAAACAGCAGGGATGAAGGGGCAGGGACGGGGGAATGAACAGGCAGGAGAAACCCCTGGGGGAGAGGGGGAACATCGGGGATGAACGGGCAGGGCTGGGCAGGGAATCCCAGCGAGGAGGAACCCCTGGGGAAATCCCTCAGGAGAAACCCCTTGGGAAACTCCTTCTATCCCTTGGGAAATCCCTTCTTCCCTTTGGGAGAAACCCCTGGAAACTCCTTGGGAGAAACTCCGGGAGAAATCCCTTTGGAAATCCCTTCTTCCCCTTGGGAGAAACCCCCGGAAACTCCTTGGGAATTGGGGCAGCTCCCAAAAGGGATTCTGGGATGAGGAGCCTCTGATCCTTCCACAAACTCTGAAGTTCCCAAGAAATTCCAAGCAAATTCCCATGAAATTCCCAGGAATTCCCAGATAATTCCACCTGGGCAGTCCCAGATCCAAAACTTCCCCATCTGGACCAAGTTCAGGGCTGGGATCTGTGGGTTCCCAGTAGGATACCCAGGATAACCCCCCCAGTCCTGCCCCAAACCCCCGCGTTGCCGCACACCGCACCTGGCTGGGGCCGGGCGGGCCGCGCGCCGTCACCACCGGCTGGCTGCGGGCGGGGTCGGTCACCTGCAGGCCGTGCCGCACCTGGATGTGCTTCTCCAGGATCAGGCGGCTGCTGAACGTGCGCTTCCCCTCCGTGCAGTACCTGGGGACGGACGGAGCGGCCCCGTGTGCCCCCAGCTCCAGCCCCGAACATCGGGGTCCGCACGGAGCCTGCAGCCCTGCCCCAAACCCTCCGCGCTCCCGGAGCCTCCATTGCCATCCTGGGCAGAGCTGGGGGGAACTGAGCCCTGAACCCTTGGGAATTAATGAAACCCTGATTTCCCTGGGAATTAAACCCTGATTTTCCCAGGAATTAAACCCTGATTTCCCTGGGGATTAAACACTGATTTTCCTGGGAATTAAACCCTGATTCCTTGGGAATTAATCCCTGATTCCCTGGGAATTAAACCCTGATTTCCCTGGATATTAATCCCTGATTCCTTGGGCATTAAACCCTGATTTTCCTGGGAATTAAACACTCATTCCTTGAGAATTAAACCCTGATTTCCCTGGGAATTCAACCCTCATTCCCTGGGACTTAATCCCTGGATTCCCTGGGAATTAAACCCTGATTTTCCTTGGGAATTAAACCCCAATTTCCCTGGACATTAAACCCCAATTCCTTGAGAGTTCCCCTTTTCCCTGCCCAGCCCCAACCCCAAAACCCCTCACAATCCTCCCCGCTCCCTCCCAGTTCCCGGCCATCCCAGCCCCGGCATTCCCCATTCCCGCTCTCAGGAACCCCAGGAACCCCCCAGAATCCCAGAACCGCCCATAACCCCATGAGCCCCCCATGACCGCAGTGACCCCGGCAGTACCGGCAGGGGTAGACGCGCTTGATGCCCTCGTGGTTGACGCGGACGTGGCGCCGCAGGCTCGGGGCCGAGCAGAAGGAGCGCTCGCACAGGTGGCACGGGAACTTCTTCACCGACTGCGGGGGGAAATCATCAGGATCACAGGAAAACTGGGACAAAACTGGGAAAAACCCGCTCGGGATTCCGGGGAAAAACCCGGGAAAAATCCCACCCAGGATCACAGGAAAACCGGGACAAACCTGGGAAAAATCCCACTCAGGATCCCGGGGAAACCGGGCAAAAACAGCTCAGGATCCTCAGGAAAACCCGGGACAAACCCAGGAGGGATCCCAAAAAAACCTGGGAAAAACCTGCTCAGGATCCCGGAGAAAACTGGGACAAACCCTCTCAGGATCCTGGGGAAACACAGGACAAACCCAGGAAAAACCCCACTCAGGATCCCGGGGAAACCCAGGAGGGACCTAAGAAAAACGTGGGAAAAGTCCAGCTCAGGATCCTGGAAAAAAGAGAAAAATCCAGGAGGGATCCAGAGGGATCCGGGAGGATCCAAAGCTGGGATTGCCACTCCAGCTGGAGGTGGGAATTAAATTTTCCCTCCTGGGATTGTTCATCCAGCCAGGAATTATTCCAGAAGTCTGATTCCCATTCCCAGATCCTTCCATTCCCAGCATCCTGGAGCATCCAGGAGGATCCATGAGGGATCCAGGAGGATCCAGTAGCCGGGATTCCCCCTCCGGCCGCTCTAACTCCATTTCCCTCCAATCCCGCCCAGAATGACCCAAACCCCCCGGAGTCCCGGGGTGCCCACCTTGCCGTGCTCCCTCTTCATGTGCGCCACGTACTCGTCGCGCTCGGGGAACCACGAGTGGCACAGGCCGCAGCTCCAGCCGCTGCCCTTGGCCTTGGCGCCGGGCCGGCCCCGCGGGAAGCGCCCGCGCCGCGCCCGCCGCAGCTCGGGCGAGCTCGGCGCCTCCTCCTCCTCCTCCTCCTCCTCCGAGGAGCTCGAGGAGGAGCCCGAGCGCCGCGGCGGCTCCGGCGGCTCCGCCTTGGGCGCCGGCAGCGGCCCCGAGCGCCGCAAGGGCTCCTCCGGGCCCGGCTGCGCCTGGTGCGTGTTCTGCTCGGGGAGAGAGAGAGATTGGGATTCAGGGAGCTCCGGGCGCTCCTGGATCCGGAGCACGGCTGGGTCACCCTCCCCACTCCCATCTCCCCAGTCTGGGGGAAATTTCCATCGTTTCTGGCTGAAATTTCGCCATTTTTGGCCGGGATTTTGCCACTTTTGGCCGAGATTTTGCCATTTTTGTGTGGAGCTGGGGCCTGACCTTGAGGTGCTCGAGCATGGTGCGTTTCTGCGCGAAGAGCAGCGGGCACTGCGGGCAGCGGAAGACGCTGACGCGCTGGGGCAGCAGGTGCTGATCAAAGTGCGACGACAGCAGCGGCTTGTGCGTGAACACCGTGTCACACATGGCACACTTGTAAATCATCCTGGGGGAAACGGGGGGAAAATGGGTGAAAACGGGGGAAAAACGGGGAAAAAACGGGGCGGGGGGCACGCCGGGGGGAGCAGAGAGGGAGGGGAAAAGGAAGGGAAATGAAAAGGAAAAAGGGAAAAGGAGGGAATGAGAGAGAAAATAGGGAAGGGAACAAGAGGGGAAAGAGAGAAATGAGGGGAGGGAAAAGGAAAAGGAAAAGGAAAAAGGAAAAGGAAAAAGGAAAAGGAAAAGGAAAAGGAAAAGGAAAAGGAAAAGGAAAAGGAAAAGGAAAAGGAAAAAGGAAAAAGGAAAAGGAAAAGGAAAAGGAAAAAGGAAAAGGAAAAGGAAAAAGGAAAAGGAAAAGGAAAAGGAAAAGGAAAAGGAAAAGGAAAAAGGAAAAAGGAAAAGGAAAAGGAAAAGGAAAAGGAAAAAGGAAAAGGAAAAGGAAAAAGGAAAAGGAAGGAATGGGAGAGAAAAAAGGAAGGATAAAGGAGGAAAAGGGAAAGAAAAGGCGAGGAAAAAGGAGATGGGAAAGAGAGAAATGAGGGAAGGGACAAGGGAAAAAATGAGAAGGAAAAGGGAACAATAAAGGAGAAAAATGGAAGGGAAAAGGAGGGGAAAGAGAGAAATGAGGGAAGGAAAAGGAAAAAGAAATGAGAAGGAAAAAGGGAATTTTGGGGGATTTTGGGCGTTCCGCGAGCACTCACTTGGACTGCTGGTTGCTGAAGCCGGGGTGCTGCGTGTACACGTGGGCGTGGGCGCTGGGCGCGGACTTGAAGGCCATGGGGCAGATGGGGCACTTGTGGAAAACCTCGCAGTGCGAGCTCTGGATGTGGGACTTGATGGAATTGACGCCCCCGAACACCACGGAGCAGCTGGGACACCTGGAGAATGCCCAGGGGAGAATGAATGGGCTCTGGGAATCCCCAGCGGAGACCGGGAAACAGAGCGGCTCTGGGAAAATTCCCAACTGGAACCGGGATCCAGAGCGATTCTGGGAATTCCCAACGGAGACCGGGAAACAGAGCGGCTCTGGGAAAATTCCCAACTGGAACCGGGATCCAGAGCGATTCTGGGAATCCCCAGCGGAGACCGGGAAACAGAGCGGCTCTGGGAAAATTCCCAACTGGAACCGGGATCCAGAGCGATTCTGGGAATTCCCAACGGAGACCGGGAAACAGAGCGGCTCTGGGAAAATTCCCAACAGAAACCGGGATGCAAGGAAGTTCTGTGAATTCCCAGTGGAAACTGGGACCCAAATCGGTTCTGGGAAAATTCCCAATGGAAACTGGGAAACAGAGCGGCTCTGGGAATTCCAGACTGGAACCGGGATCCCAAAATAGTTCTGGGAAAATTCCCAGTGGAAACTGGGTTCTAGAAATTCCCAATGGACACCAGGATCCAGAGCGATTCTGGGAATTCCCAACGGAGACCGGGAAACAGAGCGGCTCTGGGAAAATTCCCAGTGGAGACTGGGATCCAAAGAGGTTCTGGGAATTCCCAATTGGAACCAGGATCCCAAAAAAGTTCTAGGAAAATTCCCAGTGGAAATTGGGTTCTAGAAATTCCCAATGGACACCAGGATCCAGAGCAGTTCTGGGAATTTCCAGTGGAAACTGGGATCCAAACCAGTTCTGGGAATTCCCAACGGACATCAGGATCCAAACCAGTTCTGGGAAAATTCCAACTGGAAGCAGGATCCCAAACGAGGATTCCTGTAATTTCCAGGATTCCCTGGCTCCGTACCTGTACCCCACCCTGCGGGAGGAGTCCTTGAGCTGGGACTCCAAGCTGGCCAGCAGGAAATTCCCCCCGCATTCCATGGGCAAACCCCATTTCTGCACCTCCCCAACGCCCCCCCATGGAATTCCCGGGATTACTGTAATTCCCGGCGCTCCCTGGCTCCGCACCTGTACCCCACCCTGCGGGAGAAGTGCAGGCACGACTCCTTGAGGTGGGACTCGAAGTTGGCCAGCAGGAAGTTGCCCCCGCACTCGGGGCACACGTGGGGCGGGCGGCTGCGGTGCATGCGCTGGTGTGCGCTGAAGCTGCAGCGGTTGGCCAGGATCATGGGGCACGCCGAGCACACCTGGAAAAACGGGATAACCTATGGAACTGTGGGAATTCCACCCGGGATCATGGGGCACGCCGAGCACACCTGGAAAAACGGGATAACCTATGGAACTGTGGGAATTCCACCCGGGATCATGGGGCACGCCGAGCACACCTGGAAAAACGGGATAACCTATGGAACTGTGGGAATTCCACCCGGGATCATGGGGCACGCCGAGCACACCTGGAAAAACGGGATAACCTATGGAACTGTGGGAATTCCACCCGGGATCATGGGGCACGCCGAGCACACCTGGAAAAACGGGATAACCTATGGAATTCTGGGAATTCCACCCGGGATCATGGGGCACGCCGAGCACACCTGGAAAAACACCGGGATAACCTATGGAACTGTGGGAATTCCACCCGGGATCATGGGGCACGCCGAGCACACCTGGAAAAACACCGGGATAACCTATGGAACTCTGGGAATTCCACCCGGGATCATGGGGCACGCCGAGCACACCTGGAAAAACGGGATAACCTATGGAACTGTGGGAATTCCACCCGGGATCATGGGGCACGCCGAGCACACCTGGAAAAACGGGATAACCTATGGAACTCTGGGAATTCCACCCGGGATCATGGGGCACGCCGAGCACACCTGGAAAAACGGGATAACCTATGGAACTCTGGGAATTCCACCCGGGATCATGGGGCATGCCGAGCACACCTGGAAAAACACCGGGATAACCTATGGAACTGTGGGAATTCCACCCGGGATCATGGGGCACGCCGAGCACACCTGGAAAAACACTGGGATAACCTATGGAATTCTGGGAATTCCACCCGGGATCATGGGGCACGCCGAGCACACCTGGAAAACACCAGGATCATCCTGGGAATTCCACCCGGGATCAGCCTCGGAACCCCCGGAATTCCAGCCCTCAGGGCCAGGATCACGGGGCACGCCAAGCACGCCTGAAACACCGGGATCACCCTCGGAACCCCGGGAATGCCACCTGGGATCACCCTCGGAACCCCGGGAATGCCACCTGGGATCACCCTCGGAACCCCGGGAATGCCACCTGGGATCACCCTCGGAACCCCAGCACTCTGAACCACCTCCCACCCCCTCCCAGTGCCTCCCGCCCCCTGCCAGCCCTGCTCTCACCGTGCTGCTGCTGCTGCTGCCGCTGCTGCCGCCGCCCGTCCCCGGCCTGCTGGAAGTGCGCGGCCAGCCCGGCCTTGTCCTTGCACTGCTCCTTGCACTCGAGGCAGCGGAAGCAGCTGTAGCTGCCGGGCTCGGAGCCCAGAGGCAGCACGGGCAGCAGCTCCGGCCCCGCGCCGCCCTCCTGCGCCGCCCTGGCGGCGGGCAGCGCCAGCGGCGCCAGCGCCGTCACGTCGGGCTGCCCGATCATCTGCTCCAGGGCGATGGGGCGCATCACCAGGTGCGAGCACTGCATCACCAGCCCCTTGTCCTTGTGCTCGCGCGCGTGCAGCAGCAGGCTGCACTTGTTGAAGAACACCAGGCGCTTGGCGCAGTGGTTGCAGGTGACCTCGATGCGCATGCTGCGCCGGTCGTAGTGCCGCGCCAGGCTCTTCTCCAGCGCGAAGGCGTCGCCGCACTCGAGGCAGCGGAAGCCCGAGGGCGGCAGCGCCAGGCTGGCCTCGGCCGGCGGGCTCAGGTTGGGCTTGTAGGTGGGCAGCAGGTTCTTGCTGTTGAGGATCTTGTTGAAGGCTTCCACCAGGCTGGACTGGCTGCGCGAGATGACGGTGCCGGCCACGTTGGCCTTGGCGCCGCCGCCGGCCTTGGCGCCGCCGTTGGCGCGGGCGTCGCCCTTGGGCAGGGGCTGCGGCACCAGGCTCAGGATGTTCTTGGCCACGGATTTGCCGGCCTTGGCGGGCAGCACCACGGATTTCTGCTGCGCCACGCTGGCGGCGATGAGCATGGCGCTGCTGGCGCTCTGGATGGTGGCCACGGGCAGCACGGTGCCCTTCAGCTTGGCGCCGTTGCCCAGCTGCACGCTGACGATTTTGGGCCCCTCCGTGCTCTTGAGGGGGCTGGAGAGCTCCGATTTCTCCCTGGCCGCCTCCGTGGGGACGCCGGCGGGACCCTCCAGGGGCTCCTGGGAGCTCTGCTCGCTGGGCACTCTGCTGGAGGGCGGCTCCGAGTCCGAGGACACCCTGGTGACCGTCCTGGTGATGCTGCCGCAGGAGGTTTTGATGGTTTTGATGCGCACCTTGAGCGGCCGCGAGGAGCTGGAGGACGGCGAGTTGGTGCTTTCCTCCTCCTCCTCCTCCTCCTCCTCCTCGGCGCTGGACGTGCTCGGGGGGCTCCCCACGGCCTTGCCCAGCGCCTCCCGCTCCTCCTTCAGGGAGAGCTGCTTGGGGGAGGGCGGCACGGGCGCTCCTGGGGATGAGAAGGGCTCCCGGGGGCTCCCGGGCGAGCGCTTGAGCTCAGCCCCGGTGCCGGCGCCGCCGTCCAGCGCCGCCGGCTCCGCTCCCGGCCACGGCGCCGCGGGCGAGCCCCCGGCCGGGGTACCGGACGGTGACGGACTTGAGGTGATCCAGCGCCAGCCCCTTGGGGCTGCAGCCGCGGCCCGCAGGCTCCTCCGGGTCCGACTCCTCCTTCTTGATGCAGGGACCGGGTGGGCTGCATCCCCGGCCCGGAACGGCGCCGGGAACGGCGGCTCCAGCCCCTCGGGGCCGTCCCCCAGGGGCTCCTTGCAGCCGGCGCCGGGGGCCGCGGCCGGCGCCTTGTCCTTGGCCTTGCCGTCGCGGGCGCGGTCGATGAGGTCGGCGCCGTCCTGGCCGGGCTCGGGGCTGAAGGGCGAGAACAGCTCCAGCCCCTTGGCCGCCTTCTCCTTGGCCCAGCAGTCGCCGTTGGGGGCGGGCTCGGCGGGCCGGGCGCCCTCGGTGCCGAAGCCGTTCTGCAGCAGCCGCGGCGCCAGCCCGTGCCCGTGCCCGTGCCCGTGCCCGTCCTTGGGCTCGGCCTGCTCGGGGCACACGGTGTTCTTGACGATGACGCTGACGGCCGAGATGTCGGCGTGCGGCAGCGCGGGCTCGGCCGCGGCGCCAGGGCCCGGCTCCCCCGGCAGCGCCTTGCCGGGCGCCTCGGGCTCCTCCTGGTGCGACTGGATCGCCTCGTTGGCGTCGATGTCCGGGATGTCGAAGGCGGCCAGCAGGTCGTCGAAATCCGGCGTCTTCATGTCCCCCATGGCTGGGAATTACAGGGAAAGGGGTTCAGTGTGGGGGCAGCTTGGGAATTCGCGGGTTTCCATCCCCAAGAACCCCAGGGAATCCTGGTGTCCCGCAGCCTTTTCCATCCCCATTCCCCTTCCACCCCAAACATCTCCTCTCCATCCCAAAAACTCCCCCTTTTGTCCCAAAAACTCCCCCTTTCATCCCAGAAATTCTCCCTTTCAACCCAAAAGTCCCCCTATTATCCCAAAAATTCCCCCTTTCATCCCAAAAATCCCCTTCCCATCCCAAAACCTCCGCCTTTATCCTAAAATTCCCCCTTCCCAGATTCCCTCTGAGTCTGAGGTGGGAAATCAGGGATCCAACCCCAACTCCAGCCCCAGATTCCCTCTGGATCCTGGAGAGCCCCAGCAGGTGGGATTCCATTCATTTCCCCCTGGAATGTGCCCCGGGAGAGGCTTTTCCTGCCCAAGTCCCCTTTTTCCTGCCCTTTCATCCCGGGAAAGCCTCCCCAGGCAGGGAACGGCTCCTTTGGAAAAGCTGGGAATTGTTTTCCAGGGGGGAACTGCTCCCTTTGTCCTTCCCCATCCACACCAAATCCCTGGGAATGTCTGGGACGGATCCCAGATTTCCCCATCCCAATTCCTCTCCAATCCCGATCCCAATCCCAGATTCCTTTTGGGAATGGCCTGGGCAGTCCCGGGGGGCTGTTTGGGATCGGCAGCGGGCTTTGGGAAATCCTTCCCGGCTGGGGAAAGGAGGCAGGGACAGCCACAAACAGGGAGGGATCGTCCCGAAATTCCACCTGCGGCAAATCCCGGATCCCAGAATGATCCCGAACTCCCCATCCCGATCCCAAATTCCTCATCCCGATCCCAAACTCCCCATCTTGATCCCAAACTCCCCACACTGATCCCAAACTCCCCATCCCGATCCCAAACTCCCCATCCCGATCCCAAACTCCCATCCCGATCCCAAACTCCCCATCCTGATCCCAAACTCCCATCCCGATCCCAAACTCCCCATCCCGATCCCAAACTCCTCATCCTCATCCTAAATCCTAATCCCAAACTCCCTGTCTGTCCTGATCCCAAATTTCCCATCACAATCCTAAATCCCCATTCCAACTCCCCCATCCCGATCCCAAATTCCCCATCCCAATCCCAAACTCCCGATCCCAAATTCCCCACCCCGCTCCCGCCCCCATCCCGGCGCAGCGGCCCCGTCCCGAGGATCCGTGCGGGATTAAATTCCCGGGATTTGGAGGGGATTAATTCCCGGCCATCTGCCGGTCCCGCGGCCCGGCCCCGAGCCCGGCATCCCGAAAATCCCAAAGGGTCGGGAGGGCTCGGGATTCCCCGTTTGCTCGGGATTCCCACAAGGGCTGCGGGGGTCTGGGCGGGGATTCCGTGGGATTTTGGGCTTTTCCCAAATATCCGGGATCCCAAGGCCCCCATCCCCCTCCCGAGCTTCCAATCCCAAATTCCCCATCCTCATCCCAAACTCCCCACCCCAAAGTCCCCATTCCTATCCCAAATTCTCCATCCCAAACTCCCCATTCCTATCCCAAACTCCCCATCCCAAACTCCCCACCCCAAACTCCTCACACCGACCCCAAACTCCCCGATATTCCAGGCGGGAGCGGATGCCCGTGATCCCTGGCAACCCCAGGATTTGGGATGGGGGAGGACTGACCGCGACCCCCCAGAATTCCAGGATGGGGGGGATGATCCTGATCCCCACAAATCCCGGGATTTTTTATGTGGGAAGACGCGACCATGGCCCTTCCAGATCGCGGATTTTGGGATGTGAAGGGCTGACCGTGACCCCTCAAATCCCGGGATTTTTCTGTCGCAGGGAGTGACCGTGACCCTCCAGAATCCCGGCAATGGGGGGGTGACCGTGACCCCCCGGATCCCGGGATTTTTCCGAGGGAAGAGGCGACGCTGCCCCCTCCCAATCCCGGGATTCGGGGCCGGGCCCCTCAGGCCGCGCTTCCCGCCCAGGCCGCGCCCCCCCTCAGGCCCTGACCCCCTCAGGCCGCTCCCGCCCGTCCGGCCGCGCTACCTGGAGCTGCGCGCGGGGGCGCTCCCCGCGGCCGCTGCCGGTCCCGATCCCGGTTCCCGATCCCGGTTCCCGATCCCGGCTCCCGTTCCCAATTCCCGATCCCGGTTCCGATCCCGGTCCCGCTCGGGCCCCTCAGCGGCGCCGCTTCCCCTCCGCCACTTCCTGCTTGGCCCCCCCGCCCCGCCGGCCGCTCACGCCGCGCGTTCCCGCCCGCATCGCGCTTTCCCATTGGCTACGCGGCCCGTCACTCGTTAAAAATCCACATTCTGATTGGTTGATTTCGCTGTCACTCAATGGTGAACGCGGCCGTCCGCACTCTCCATTGGCTAAGAGGAACCCGCCCCACGCCGGGCGTGTTGATTGGGAAGCGCGGGTGTCATTCAACTCTCAAAACCTCGCCCACTGCGATATCCTCGCTTCCTATTGGTTGCCAGCGCTGGCGCATCTCGCTGCCGATTGGTTAAAAGCGCTGTTTATCAATTAACCCCCGCCTCATCTCGCTTTTCATTGGTCAAAGCGCGCTGTTTATCAAGCACGGGTTCCGGCCGCCATTGGCTTCGGGTACCGTCCATGGCGGCGGCTCCCGGCCGGGGGCTCCTATTGGGCACGGGATTCGTCCCTCAGCACCAGAACCCGTCCAGGCCGGGCCCTTAATGGCCTCAACGTCCTCCTCCCATTCGCTGCCAGCGCTGTCACTCACAGAGGCGTCTGAAGGAAGGTCTCGCCCATGTCCGCATGTTGCGCGATGCCATTGGTGGCTAGCACTGTCACTCAAGCCCGCCTGTGTTTCCTCGCTTCCCCATTGGCTGGACTGCCCAAAATCCCGCCAAGCCAATTGTCGCCGCTCATTGGTCCGCAGAGCTGCCACTCATATTTAACCCTGCCTTCCTCCCTATATTATTTGCCGCCAGAATGACAACATCCGCTCCTCCCGCTCTCTGATTGGTCTATCCTACTGCCAATCAGCAGCCCCGCCCTCAGCCTCACGGTAAACAGCGCGCGGGGGATGCCGGGAGCCGCTGCGGGAATTCCCAAATCCCGAATTCCTGGGAATTCCCGGGAATTCCGCTCCCAGAAACCCCAGCACAGGGAATCCCTTTCAATCTCCCCAGAAATCCCTTTATTCATTCCAGGAATTCCCAAGAAATCCCTTTAATTATTCCCACCATTCCCAATAACCGCTTTAATCACTGCCACCATTCCCAATAAATCATTTCCATTCCCTTTGTTATTCGCGCAACGCCCAACAACTCCCCTGCATTCCCAAGATACTCCTTTAATTACTCGCAGAACTTGCAAAAAATTCCTTTAATTATTCCTGTAATTCCGAAAAAATTCCTTTAATTACTCCTGGGACTCCCAAGAAACTCCTCTAATTATTCCCAGAACTCCCAAAATATTCCTTTAATTCTTCCCAGAATTCCCAATAAACCCCTTTAATCACTGCCGCCATTCCCAAGAAATCATTTCCATTTCCTTTATTATTCGCGTAACGCCCAATAAATCCCCGCCGTTCCCGATAGACGCCTTTAATTCCGTTTATTTCCGCATTCCCGGCCCCCGCTGCGGTGTCCCGGTGCCGCTCCCGGGCCCGCGTCTCTCATTTCTTCTCCTCGTCCTTCCTGTCCCCGCGGTGCTCGCGGTGCTGCTCCCGCTGCTCGCGGCCCTGCTCGCGGTGCGCCTGCGAGGCCAGCGAGCCCATGGCGTTGCGGATGGCCTCGTTGTTGGGGTCCACGCCGGGCAGGTTCTCCAGCACGCTCTGCAGGAACTCGGGGTCCTGCATCACGTCGTAGTCGTCCTCCTCCTGCGGGGGAAATAACGGCAATGGCGGGGAAAGGGCGGGAGTGGGGACCGGCCCGGGGGATTTGGGATCGGTTTGGGGGATTTGGGGTCAACCTGGGGGATCTGGGATTGGCCTGGGGTATTGGGGATCGGCTCGGGGGATTTGGGATCAGCCTGGGGTATTGGGGGTTGACCTGGGGGATTTGGGATCAGTCTGGGTGATTTTGGGCCAGCCTGGGGGATCTGGGATCCGTCTGGGGGATTTGGGAACATCCAGATCCACAGGAAAACCCAGGGAATGCAGGATCATCCTGGGAGATTTGGGATCAGCCCAGTGGATTTGGGATCAGTCTGGGGGATTTGGGATCATCCTGATCTACAGGAAAACCCAGGGAATGCAGGAATGTCGTGGAGGATTTGGGATTGGCCCAGGAGATTTGGGATCATTCTGGGGGATCTGGGATCATTCTGGGGGATTTAGGATCATCCTGATCCAGATGGGTCTAGAGGGTCTGGGATTATTACTGGAGTATGGAATGGGGGCCCTGGACACTCCCAGGGATGGGGAAACCAGGGCAGGATCCAGGATTTCATCCCTAAAATCCCAAAGAAAGCAGGACAGGGAGTCCTGGAATGGTTTGGGATGGAAGAACCCTGGGGGTGACCCCATCCCTGTCCTGTGGGTGGGATGGGATGGATGGGATGGGATGGGAGTGATGGGATTGATGGGATGGATGGGATGGGATGGGATGGATGGATGGATGGGATGGATGGGATGGGATGGATGGGATGGGATGGGATGGATGGATGGATGGGATGGATGGGATGGGATGGATGGGATGGGATGGATGGGATGGGATGGGATGGATGGATGGATGGGATGGATGGGATGGGATGGATGGGATGGATGGGATGGATGGGATGGGATGGATGGCATGGGATGGGATGGATGGATGGATGGGATGGATGGGATGGGATGGATGGGATGGGATGGATGGGATGGGATGGATGGGATGGGATGGGATGGATGGCATGGGATGGGATGGGATGGATGGGATGGGATGGATGGGATGGGATGGATGGGATGGGATGGATGGGATGGGATGGGATGGATGGGATGGGATGGATGGGATGGGATGGGATGGATGGCATGGGATGGATGGCATGGGATGGGATGGATGGATGGGATGGATGGGATGGATGGGATGGGATGGATGGGATGGGATGGGATGGATGGGATGGGATGGGATGGGATGGGATGGATGGGATGGGATGGGATGGGATGGGATGGGATGGGATGGATGGCATGGGATGGGATGGATGGGATGGGATGGGATGGGATGGATGGGATGGATGGCATGGGATGGGATGGATGGGATGGGATGGATGGGATGGGATGGGATGGATGGGATGGGATGGATGGGATGGGATGGATGGGATGGGATGGCATGGGATGGGATGGATGGGATGGGATGGGATGGATGGGATGGGATGGATGGGATGGGATGGATGGGATGGGATGGATGGGATGGGATGGATGGCATGGGATGGATGGCATGGGATGGGATGGGATGGATGGGATGGGATGGATGGGATGGATGGGATGGGATGGATGGGATGGGATGGGATGGATGGCATGGGATGGATGGCATGGGATGGGATGGATGGATGGGATGGGATGGATGGGATGGGATGGATGGGATGGATGGGATGGATGGGATGGATGGGATGGGATGGATGGGATGGGATGGGATGGATGGGATGGGATGGGATGGATGGCATGGGATGGATGGCATGGGATGGGATGGGATGGATGGGATGGGATGGATGGGATGGGATGGATGGGATGGGATGGGATGGGATGGATGGGATGGATGGGATGGGATGGATGGGATGGGATGGGATGGATGGGATGGGATGGGATGGATGGCATGGGATGGATGGGATGGATGGGATGGGATGGATGGCATGGGATGGATGGGATGGGATGGATGGGATGGGATGGGATGGATGGGATGGGATGGATGGGATGGGATGGATGGGATGGGATGGGATGGAATGTGCCAGAACGAGCTGCTGGCCATGCTGGCAATTGCAGGGGCTCCCCACCTTGGCGGGCTCGGAGGTGTCCATGGCCGCCCCGCTGTCCACCTCGGCCGCCTCGGCCTGGGCAAACTCTGCAAAGCCGAACAAACCCCGAGCTGATCCCGGGCAGCCCCAGGCCCCAGTCCCAGCCCCAATCCCGGGGTTATCCCAGGGTTATCCCAGGTTTTTCCCGGGTTTTCCCAGGGTTTCCCCACGCACCGGCGCCCTGCAGGGACATCTGCATGGCGTAGGCGATCTGCTCCTCCTCGCTCATGGAGCTCAGGTCCGGCAGCCCCGCGCGGCCGAAGTCCGGCTGCCCGATGGTCATCTTGAGCAGGGCCTCGTCCGACTCTGCACGCAGGGACGTCCCAGAGTCACGGGGCAGCCCGGGATGCCCAGGAATGCGTGAGACAGCCCGGGATCCAGGGGTGTCCGGGAATGCCCAGGAATGCACGGGGTGTGCAGGAATGCCCAGGAATGCGTGGGACAGCCCGGGATCCAGGGGTGTCCGGGAATGCCCAGGAATGCACGGGGTGTGCAGGAATGCCCAGGAATGCGTGGGACAGCCCGGGATCCGGGGGTGTCCGGGAATGCCCAGGAATGCACGGGGTGTGCAGGAATGCCCAGGAATGCGTGGGACAGCCCGGGATCCAGGGGTGTCCGGGAATGGGCGTCCCCACCCGCCCAGGGAAGGGTTAAAATCCCCAGTGTCCAGTCTGAGCCCACCCTGAGTTTCAGTCCTCCTCATTCCCATCCCATCCCCTCATTCCCATCCCACTAACCCCATTCCATAAATCCTGTTTCCAACCCCATCAATTCCGTTCCCATCCCATCCCATTCCCAATCCCATCAATCCCATCAATCCCAATCCCATCACTCCCATCCCAGCCCCTCACCATCTCCGCCCGTGGCTCCGATGCCGGCCTCCGCCGCCGAGGCCGCGGCCGCCCTGCGCGCCTCCTCCTCCTGCCGCTGCCGCTGCTCCTCCATGGACACGCGCAGGGCCTGCAAAACACCCCAAAACAGGGATTGGGATCGGGGAAATGGGACAAAACGCCCCAAAACATGGATTGGGATTAGAGAAATGGGACAAAACAACCCAAAACAGGGCTGGGGATACGGGAAATAGGACACCCGGAGCGCCTGCAGAAACCTCCCGAAGCACCCCAAAACAGGGCTGGGGATCTGGGACAAAACACCCCAAAATCCTGGACTGGGGTTCCGGGAAATGGGACAAAACACCCCCAAACACAGCTGGGGATGCGGGAAATGGGAGCCCTGGGGTTTGGTGCTAGGGGAGATTCGGGGTTTTATGGGAAATCTGACATTGGGAATTGCCCAGTTCCTGAGAACGCTGGGGTTGGTGTTGTGGGAGTCAGGAGATCTGGGGTTTGTGGGATCACAACACTGGAAGTTCCCCAATTCCTGGGGATTTTGGTGTCCCTACCAGAGCCAGCTTGGGGTCAGCACTGGGATCCACCCTGAAATCGAAGTCGGAGGTGCCCAGCCCCAGCAGGATTTGGGGAATTGGCACATTTGGGGATTTTGGGGTCCCTACCAGAGCCAGTTCAGGATCAGCACTCGGATCCACGCCGAACTCGAAGTCGGAGGCGCCCAGCCCCAGCATGGCTCTGCTCTCACCCATGGGGTTTGGAGTTGGATATTCGGGGTTTGGAGTTGGATCTTTGGGGTTTTACGGGATATTTGGGGTTTCTGGGGTCCCTACCAGAGCCAGCTCGGGGGTCAGCGCTGGGATCCACGCCGAACTCGAAGTCGGAGGCGCCCAGCCCCAGCATGGCGCCGCCCTCGCCCGCCAGGATGGGGGAGCTGATGAGGGCGTCGGCCAGGCTGGGCCCCGGCGGCACCGTCACCAGGTGGGAGCCGCTGCCGTCCTTGCCGTTGAGCGCCGTGATGAACGCCGTCAGCTTCTCCGTGTTGGCCTCCTGGGACGGGATTGGGGGTGCTGAGGGGCTGGGAGTGGGGGATTGGGGGTGCTGAGGGGGTGGGAGTGGGGGATTGGGGTGCTGAGGGGGTGGGGAGTGGGGGATTGGGGTGCTGAGGGGGTGGGAGTGGGGGATTGGGGGTGCTGAGGGGGTGGGAGTGGGGGATTGGGGTGCTGAGGGGGTGGGAGTGGGGGATCTGGGGTGGTGAGGGGGTGGGAGTGGGGGATTGGGGTGCTGAGGGGATGGGAGTGGGGGACTGGGGTGCTGAGGGGCTGGGAGTGGGGGATCTGGGATGGTGAGGGGCTGGGAGTGGGGGATCTGGGGTGCTGAGGGGCGGGGGAGTGGGGGATTGGGGTGCTGAGGGGGTGGGACTGGGGGATTGGGGCTCTGGGGGAGGGATCTGGGGGTTGTTGCGGTTGTGGTGCCAGGAGAGGGCTCTGGGAACGGCAAATCCGACTGTCGCAGGTTCCCAGCAGGAATCGGGGCTGGGGAGGGTTTGGGATCCAGGGAAAACCCTCAAGGCCTGCCCTCATTCCCAGGATTTCCCAGCCCCAGCACAGAGCTGGGAAAGGCCCCGGAATTCCTCTGGAACGTGGCAATTCCCGCGGCTCTCACCTCCTCCCCGAAGTTGATGATGTCCACGTTGACCTTCTCCTTCTTCAGGCGCTTGGCCAGCTTCACCAGCTGGGGGGGAGAGGCAGCAATCCCCCGGGATCAGCGGGATCTGGGACCTGGCCCAGCGCCCGCACCCCACCGACATTCCCGATTTGGGCCTGAATCGGCTGCCAGATCCATGGATCCATCACAGGGATGGGATCAGCTCAGGGATCCACCACAGGGATCCACAACTGTGACCTCCCCAATCCCGGGCTGAGCCCTGCATTTTCTGGGAGCTGATCCCGTTGTTATCCCGTGATCCCTGCCCCGAGCCCACAGTGATCCCGTGATTATTCCCGTTGTTATTCCATTATCCCAGCCCTGATCCTGCAGCAATCCCATGATTATTCCCGTCGTTATCCCGTGATCCCAGCCCCGATCCCACTGTTACCCGTGATTATTCCCGTCGTTATCCCTGATCCAGCCCTGATCCCACAGTGATCCATGATTATTCCACTGTTATCCCTGATCCCAGCCCCGATCCCACTGTTATCCCGTGATTATTCCCGTCGTTATCCCTGATCCCAGCCCTGATCCCACAGTGATCCCATGATTATTCCCGTCGTTATCCCTGATCCCAGCCCCGATCCCACAGCAATCCCATGATTATTCCCACTGTTATCCCTGATCCCAGCCCCGATCCCACAGCGATCCCATGGTTATTCCCATTGTTATCCCTGATCCAGCCCCGATCCCACAACGATCCCATGGTTATTCCTGTCGTTATCCCTGATCCCAGCCCCGATCCCACAGCGATCCCATGGTTATTCCCACTGTTATCCCTGATCCCAGCCCCCGATCCCGGTGTCGCTCCCCCCGGCACTCACGTCCTTGTCGCTGTCGTGCACGGGGCTGCCCACGAAGGCGATGATTCTCATCTTGTGGTTCTTGCCCCTGCCGGTGCTTCAGCGCCAGCTGCACCAGAGCCGACCCGCGGGTCTGGGGGCCGCTCCCGGGAAATCGGGGACCCCCCACCATTCCCGGGAAATCGGGGACCCCCCAACCCATTCCCAGGAAAACGGGGATCCCCCCACCCAGATCCCGGGAAAACGGGGATCCTCCAACCCAGATCCCCAGGAAATCGGGGATCCCCTCCCACCCCAGATCCTGGGATATATGGTGGATTTCTGTGAAACCTCCCATGGATTTATGGTGGAATTCCATCAATTTCTGGTGGATTTCTGTGATATTATTCCCATGCATTTATGGTGGATTTCTGTGAAATTCCCATGGATTTATGGTGGAATTCTGTGAAACTCCCATGGATTTTTGTGAAATTCCCGTGGATTTCTGTGAAATTTCCATGGATTTCTGGTGGAATTCTGTGGAATTCCCATGGATTCACGCTTCACAGCCTCCCCCACCATTTCCACCACAAGGAAACCCCGAATTTCCCCCGTCCAGGCCCCCGGGAGCGGCCGGAATTCGCAGGAATTCCCGGGAGCCCCACCGGGAGGGACACTCACGTGCGCCACGCGGATGCCGGTGCCGAAGGTGATCTTGCCCTTGGGCTGCACCGTGTGCAGCTTGGACAGGATGCGCCCGGTGTCCGGGGTCAGCGTGGTCAGCACCTCGCAGTTACTGCGGGGGAACGGGAGGGAATTCACACGCCGGGATTCAGGCTGGGAGGGAACTGCCCCTTGGGGTTCAGGAAATTCCCCCTTGGGGTTCAGGAAATTCCCCCTGGATTCAGGAAATTCCCCCTTGGGATTCAGGCCGGGCTCGGCTTTGCGGCTGTCAGCGCCTCACAGCTACAGGAGCAACTCCTGGGGATTCTTTGGGAATCTGGGAGGGAATTCTCCAAATTCCCCAGATTTCCCCACTTCCAATAATCCCCAAATCCATCCCATTCCAAGAATTCCTGAAGTTCCCACCCCAAAAATCCTCAGATCCATCCCATTCCAAGTGGGAATGAGCCATTCCAAGAACTCCTGAACCTCCCACCCCCAAAATCATTCCCAGAATCCCTGCCATTCCAAGTGGGAATGAGTCACTCCAGGAACTCCTGAAGTTCCCACCCCAGAACCATTCCCCAGTCCCTCCCATTCCAGGCTCGTTCCTGGTCCCTCCCGGACCCCGGGACCCCCTCACTTGGCCAGGGTGATGAGCCCCACGTTGTTCTCGGGGTTGCTGCGCGTCTTGGAGTGGCACACGATGTTGACGGCGTCCTGCTGCGCCTGCAGCCGCGTCGGCAGGAAGTCCCCGTTCCGCATGTACTCGCTGTTGTCCACGCTGGAACGCCCAAAAAAAACCGGGAATGTTACAGGGGGATCCGGGGAATTCCCTCTGCTGGGGTGGATGGGGTTTTTGGGGAAAAAAATTGGCTATAGCTGCCTAAAATTGGATTTTTTTAGGGAAAATTGAGGTTTATTCCGCATGTACTCGCTGTTGTCCACGCTGCAATTCCCAAAAAAAACCCAGGGAATGTTACAAGGGGATCCTGGGAAATTCCCTGTGTTGGGTGGTTGGGGTTTAGCTCCCTAAAATCCACTTTATTTCAGGGAAAAATGAGGTTCATTCCAGTCTAAAATGTCATTTTTATGGGAATGCGGAGATTTGGGACAGCTGAAGTTCATTCCCCAAAATCTCTCTTTTTTTTGGGAATGGCTGATGTTAATCTCCCCAAATCTGGGACTTTTTGGGAATGGCTGATATCCTCCCCCAAAATCCGGCGTTTTTTGTAAACAGTTGAAGCTCAAGCCACAAAATCCCTGCCTCAGACCCTCTCTGAGCCCCATGTCTCTCCTGTCCCCCGCGCCCCTGTCTGTCCCCTCAGTCCCCCCATCCCCTCAGGCCTTGTCCCCTCATGTCCCCTCCGTCCCTGTTGTCCCTTCCATGTCCCCTCATGTCCCCCCTTGTCCCCTCCTGGCCCCCCTGTCCTCTCAGCCCCTCCATCCCCTCAGGCCCTGTCTCCCCTTCATCCCCTGTTCTTCCTGCCCTTGTCTGTCTCTCCTGTCCCTCTCTGTCCCTGTCTGTCCCCTCCTGTCCCCACCCGTCCCCTCAGCCCCCTCTCCCCTCAGGCCCGGCCCGCTCCGCCTCCCCCGCCATGACTCAGGGAAAGCGCCCGGGCGGGCCGGGGGCTGCCCGGAGGTTGCCCAGGGGTTCCCGCGGGTTTGCCCGAGGGTTCCCGGGGTGTTCCCGGGGGTGTCCCGGCGCTGCCGGGGCTCTCACCACACCATGGTGCTCTCCAGAACCATCTTGGCTCCTTCCTCCCCTCAGCGCCGCCCGCTCCCCACAGCGCCCAACAACGCGCGCGCTGATTGGTCCAGACCCCGCCGCCAATCAGCGCGGCCCATCTAGGCGTGGCGCAGCACGGAGCATGCTGGGAGTTGTAGTTCTGGGCGGGGCGCCACGATGGCCAGGGGACATCTCTGTCCCCAAAGGTCCCGATTTGTCCCCAAAGGTCCCGGACTATCCCCAAAGGTCCCGGACTCTCCCCAAAGGTCCCGGACTATCCCCAAAGGTCCCCTCGCACCGCCACCCGCCCGCGAGGTCTGCGAGGGGCTCTGAGAACAGCCCGGGGTGTCTCCTGTCCCCCTGTGCCACCCCAGGGCTGTCCCCATGTCCTGTGTCCCCCCCCGAGATGTCCCCAAAGTCCCGCCCAGCCAAGGCCACCCCAGGAGTGCCCCTAAATGTCCCCTCGATGTCCCTCCAGTGTCCCCAGGGGTGTCCCAGGATCCCCCCAAATGTCCCCTCAGTATCCCCAAATGTCCCCAGGGCTGTCCCCAATGTCCCCAGTCAGAGCTGGCCCCACGTGGGGACAGACCCGAGGGTGACAAACAACTCCAGGCTGGACACGGCAGTTCCAGGAACTCCATTCCCAAATCCAGGAAAATTCCATCCCCGAACCCGGGGGAAATTCCGGGGAAATTCCACGAAATCCAAATTCCCGAATCCGGGGAAATTCCGGGGGAAAAAAACCCCAGAAAATTCCAGAGGAATCCCACGGATCCCGTCCCAAATCCAGGAAAATTCCATTTCCCAAACCCAGGAAAAGTCCGTCCCAAATCCAGGAGAATTTCCATGGATTCTGTCCCAAATCCAGGAAAATTCCTGTCCCAAATCCAGGAGAATTTCCACGGATTCCGTCCCAAATCCAGGAGAATTCCATTTCCCAAACCCAGGGAAAGTCTGTCCCAAATCCAGGAGAATTCCATGGATTCCACCCCAAATCCAGGAAAATTCCACGAAATCCATTCCACAGTCCAGGAAAATTCCATTCCCAAATCCAGGAGAATTTCCATTAAATCTGTCCCAAAACCAGGAAAATTCCACGAAATCCATTCCACAATCCAGGAAAGTTCCATTTCCCAAATCCAGGAAAATTCCACGGGTTCTGTCCCAAACCCAGGAGAATTCCATGAAATCCATTCCCCAGTCCAGGAAAAGTCCGTTCCAAGTCCATGAAAATTCCATGAAAATCCCACGGGTTCCCCTCTCGATCCAGGGACGTTTCCTCTCCAATTCCAGGAGAATTCCAGGAATTCCAACCCAAATTCCAGGAGGATTCCGTTCCCATTCCCGGGAAGAGCCAAATCCTCTTTTCCTCCTGCAATTCCCAAATTTCCCCCTTTTGGGAACAGGAAAATTCCCAAAAAAATAAAACCCCCAACAAAAAAAATTCCAACCCCAGCCTCTGGATGGGGAGAATTCCCAGGAAAAAGGGGAATCATCCCAAAAATATTTAAATATTCATAAATATTCCGTTCTGGGAAGGGGGGGGAAACTGGTAAAAAAATGGGGGGAAAATAGGGTAAAAAACTGAGGAAAAAATGGGAAAATTGGGGAAAAATTGGGGAAAACTTGGGAAAAAATTGGGGAAGAAATGGGGAACAAAATTGGGGAAAAAAAAAGGGAAAATTAGGGAAAAAAATAGGGAAATTTCCCCTCCTGATGCAATAAAAAATGGGAGGGACTTTGTCTAATATAGACAAACATTCCAAGGAAAAAGGGGAAATCCACGGAATTGTCCCCGAGTTCCCTGTGCTGGGCTAAGGCCGTTCCAGGGGAAATCCGGGATTTGGGGGCAGGAAAACTCAGCTTTTCCTTAAAAAACGTGGGAAAAGGGAGAGGCAGGGATGGAATTCCCTCCCTGCTCCACATTCCGGGGTTTTTCGGCACAAAAAGCTCGAAACTCCAGGGTTTGTATAAAAAACGGGATTTTTCCAAGCGGAGTTTGGGGGAAAATGAGATTTTTCCATAAAAAAAAAATCAGGGATGGAGCAAAAATCAGCACCAGCCCTGGGGGCTGCTCCGGGAATTTGGGAATTTGGGGATTTTGGGATCCAGGTGGGAAATTCCTCACTCTGGATTTGTTTGGGGTTGTTGTTTTATCCCATCCCAAAATCTGCTCCAGGAATTTTGTGGGATTGTCAGAGGTGTTAAAAAATGGGATTTGGGGACTGGAAAAGTGGGATCTGAGCCGGGATTTTAGAGGGAGATCCTTAAAAAATCCAGGAGGGAATCCCAGGATGGGCTCGGATTCACAAAATCCCAAAAAATCCCTAAAAAAAAATCCCCCAAAAAATCCCAAAAATCCCCCAAAAAATCCCAAAAACTCTTCCCAGACTGTGGGAAAAGCTTCCCGAAATTCCTGCTGGGAAAAGGGGAGCCCAGAGCTTTTCCATGATTTCTCCTCCTTTTTCCCTCTTTTCCAGGGGATTTCCCATGGAAAACCCGGAGCAAACCCCAATTCCTGAATAAAAATTAATAATTAATAATTAACAATTCCTAATTAACAATCCCAAGAACTCCCCCCGGGACTGAAAACCGGGATGGGATCCTATGGAAATTCCAAAAAAAAAAAAAAAAAATCAGGACAAAAATCCAAAAAACTTCCCCACAAAATCGGCGCGGCTCCGATTCCAGCCGGGAATTTTCCAGGAATTCTCTCCCCCTTTTTCCCATCCCAAAATCCGGGAATTCCTGGGAATTTCAGGTCCCTGCTCCCGGCGTTCCCGGGACTTCCGGGGGAACATTCCCGATTTTCCCGGGGCATTCCCAATTTTTTTTTGGGACATTCCCAGGTTTTTTTGGGACATTCCCGATTTTTCCCGGGGCATTCCCGATTTTCCAGGGCCATTCCCGTTTTTTTTTGGGACATCCCTGATTTTTTTCGGGCCATTCCCGATTTTTTTCGGGCCATTCCCGATTTTCCAGGAGCGCTAGGAAAAGCAGGAATTCCGGAATTCCGAGGCTTGGCTGGGATTCCACTGGCGCCCATTCACTGGGAAGAGAAAACAAACGAGGAATGAGGGAAAAGTGGGAAAAGTGGGAAAAGCGGGAATATTCCCCAGGGAGTGTTTGGGGTTTGTCCCGAAAATTCCCAACCCTGGGAAAGGAGGGAAAATCTGGGAATGCTCCGGGTGGGATCTGGGATATTCCAGACCCCTCTGGAATGGGGGATTTTCCTCCTTTTTGGGGCAATCCCAGGGATTCTGGGCTGCCCAGAGCCCCGGGAACGAGGGCAGAGCCGCTCCCGCCGCATTCCCGGGATATTCCAGGATCCAACCCCACCCCAATCCCAGGGAATTCCTGGTTTTTTTCCCATGGAAATCACTCACAAAGCTGATCTCGGTCTCCGGCAGCTCCTCCAGCTCCAGGGGCAGGGAGGGCCCGGGGGATCCGCTGGAAAAAGGGGAAAAATGGAAATTTTGGGGAATTTTTGGGGGAAATCCAAGGAATCCCAGCCCCCAATCCCAACACCCTGCTGCTGGTCCCATGGAATTCCCAGGAAATCCCGGGAAAACCACCAGAAAAATCCAGGTTTGCCCATGGAGAATGCGGAAATTCCACCCAGGAATTCCATGGAGCTCGTGGATGAAGAGAACCCCCGGGAATTGCAGGTGACAGTCCCAAGGATGGAGAGGGAACATTCCCAGGTGAATTCCTCCCGGGAACTCCATGGAATTCCCACAGGAATTCCAGCCCTGGGAGCAGGAGAAGCGGGAACACCCCAGAATTTGGAAACGTCCCAAAAACCCCTGGAAGTTTGGGAAAGCAGCGAGCTCCAGACCCCAGAATCCCAAATTTGGGAAAGCGGCGAGCTCCAAAGCCCCAAATCCCAAATTTGGGAAAGCAGCGAGCTCCAGACCCCGGGAATTCCCGGAGAACATCCCACGAAATCCCATCAAATCCCGTCTGGGCTCACCTGGGCAGGGAGGCTGCGGGAGCTGCGGCGGGGCCCGGGTGCACCTCAACCCCCACGGACCTGCGGGGACGCGGGATCGGCCGTGGGAACTCCAGAATTCCCCATTTCCCATGGGGGCATCCCAGGGAAACGGCCCCAAAATCCCGGGAACGGTCCCAAACCCCTTTTCCCCCTTTTCCCACGGGATCCCACCTGCTGGGGGGGGAGGTGGCTCCGGCGCTGCCCAGGGAGGGGCTGGACAGGGACGGCGACGGCGACGGCGACAGCGACAGGGACGGAGCCAGCGCGGCCCCCGCGGCGGTCCGGCACCGAGCGCGGCAGCAGGTCCGGGCGGGAGCCTGGAACGGGAACTGGGATTGGGGAACTGGGAATGGGGACAGGAAACTGGGAATGGGGAACTGGGAATGGGAACTGGGAATGGGGACAGGAAACTGGGAATGGGGAACTGG